ATTGTATATTTTACATCAGGGCATTATACTGACAAATTCCGACAGGTACATGTGTGAAGAAAGGACTTTGGTTCACCCCTCAGTTTACTCTCGATACAGCATCCAAAGAAGAATATCTTGTAATAAACTCTAACTTAGTGAACACCTGCTTACAAGGCAGATGCCTGAACAACTGATGGTGAATAAGTTGCTCATATGTTGGAGTACTGTAGGGTCTTTCTTGCACTGTATATTCAGCGGTTGCTTTTTCCTTCATTGTTCTTGTTACATTAGATCAGAGGTGGTTTTCCTTTTTAAAATCCTCAAACAGGTACCGATAGACAAATAAGGAAAACATTTCTCCTAGGTGGAAAAAGACAAATGGAAATAAAGGCCTGAAAAATTACTGTGTCAGTACGCAGACATGGATCAATCATGCAGACAGGCAACCCTTGCAAGCTCAGTAGTTTGGCTGTTAAAATTTGAAAACAGGAGTTTTCATGTCCAACCCCGTCCAAGGAAGCCCTTTTGGGTCTTTTTTTCTTCTGTGTTTTTATTCTTGTCTGTGACAAAATGTGTGGCTGACAAGACAATGAGGAAAAGAAAGAATCTGCATATGCAAATTTTCATCCTTCTGATGGTTAGCTAGCGCAGAAAAGTTGACACTTTAGTATACGTTACATAGTTATTGAGTACCCTCCATATGGTACAGACTTACTATTGAACGTCTGTCTTTATTTATTTGGCAGTTACCATTCCAGGGGAGTCTAACTGACCTAAGGCTGCATGGTATACCATCATCAGTTGGCGGGTAAGGCTCTGGAAATTTAGCACCTTTTACTTAAGTCCCTTTCCCACAGAATGAAGTTCCAAACTGATTAACAACTAATGAACCGGATGGAATTTAATACTAACGCTGTGTACTAAAGAAATAAGCTTTTGCTAATTTGGCATGGAAAATTACTAATGTGAAATTTAAGGGACTCCAAATAAACAAAGCAAAGATGTGCAAGTGGGCTGTATTTGAAATCTTCTTATGGAGCTAAATCAATGTAGTTAATTTAGCGCTTCCACCTGTCAGTCTGTACACACATGATCCCACCTTGCCTACCTTGGATTCACCCCCTCACCCCCTGATCAGCCAGCCCTTCAACTAAGCTCGCCTAGCCTATGCTCTAGGCTCACCCTGCACCATCACAGGCTGCCCAAGTCCCATCCCGCGCTTACCCAGCCCCTTGACATTGCGCCTGGTTTTGACACACCTCTTTGTTGTGTACAAGCTTGTTTATAAAATGCCTGCAACCTGATGCTACCCATGTTCAAAGCTCATCAGATTCCACTCATAACATTTCATGAGCCATCCTTCTCCGTTTATCGTAATAGCATCATTTATATAGCCAGTTTTGCTTCATACAAGTAGCATTCTGCTTTTTCCACCGCAGTTCCATAATGGACACAGGTGTAATGCATTGGCAATTTGTTGATTAATTTCCGTAATGTGTGTGCATGTGGGAGAAATGATTTATTATGCAGAATCCACATTTGTGTGCAGTTTCCAATTTTCATATGGTGTCACTAGCGACATCCAACTGAACAATGTCATGTCTTAATTCCCATGGAATTGGCTTTTTCATAAGCTAATTGCTGTCGCGGGCTTTTTGCTTTTAAAAAGTCAAATTTTTAGTTTTGAACATACAAAGACGGCGATGTGGTCGAATACGTTTGTATGTGTCTGTACATACATGTACGTCTGGCCACATCCTTAAAAGTGAAGTTTGGGATCAAGTAGTGGGTTCTTGAGGAGTTGTCGGGGTGCTTCACAAGTTCCCGTGTGGGGCAGCTTTGCATTCAGCAATTACAAGACGATACATGATAACGGTATGTCTGCTATGGACCACCCACAGTTCATTCAGTAACAATCGCTATGTGTGACACTAGCAGATAATGTCAAGTAAATGTACAGTGCGCTCCACATCACTGCATTGAGTACAGAATCTGGCCAGTATTTCATCCTGACAGCTTATGCCACTACTCTGAAATCTGTGTCTATACTCTTTTTATTGTCTTGTTTGCATCCCATTATTGCAAACAAAAAAGACTAAAAACAAAATATAGGATTCTTCTGTTTATTTGGATACTTGGACATTTCTCAGACTTTTTATGATTGGATATAGTGAGGCAGTGCTGCGCTGGAAGAGGCCCTGGAAGGTGTGGACAAAGGGAACATTGCACGAAAATAGCAAGCATTAGGGAAACAAATCTCAACTTCCTCCACGGATATTTCATTGACTCCAGCAAATATGAACATGAAACTTTTATCTTAAATTTGTCATTGTGATTTAGAATTTTCATAACTCCCCCTATGTGCAATGTTAAGTGCTTTGCAGTGCAAAATGTATTTTAACAAGATTGAAGTGTGGTGAAATCAAGGCGTTAGTGAGAAAGTTCAGTATTCTGACAACACATGCCCAAAATGAAGTGTGTCAAGTGTCATTTGACAGCATCAGTCTGACAAATCCGCCCATGAACTGAAATAGGTTTGAACCGGCATGACATCAGGTGCTTTGTTCTCAAGTGACCCTGCATTTTGGGAATACTGAACTGACTCATTCCGGTGTTAGCTTTTGTGAAGTCACAAAATCTTGTGATGGCAAGCAGTGATGTGATGATGTGGGTAGTTGCAGTGAGTTTTGTGTGTTCTTACAGTTCGCCCTCCTGCATTTCTTGACTGAATCCCATTTGTGAGTGCACATCTGCTGCTAGGCAGAACAGACTCATAAAATGTTGCTCAATGTTAATCTCGTATGGACAGTTGAAAAGTTCACACTCTCAAGGCCGTTTCCAACTTACCATGAAATCAGACATTAATGGGATTTTATGGCATCAGATCAATTCCTGCCATGACTTTGCAAAAGATGGACTCATTTCAACTCAAGAAAAAATTGCTATGGATGGTATTTGCTTCACATTCGCCTGAAGTTTGAACTGGCCCTAAGATGTGAAAATAACAGTAGTTATACATTGTGCATATCACTGTTTGGATAGGACGTCAGTAGACAATGTGTGCCTGACAGAACGTGACGGACTCAAATGGGATCCGTTCATGTTGCTGCTGTTCATATTCTCATTTGCACATCCATTTTCACATGTTCATATGTAATTTGAGTCGTAATTTTAGTAGGCATTCAATCATAACCGTTGACACAAAGCCCAGTGCAATGGGAGGGGGGATTTTTCTGTAACATATTCTTGTTTGCTAATCCTGTCAAACTTAACCGTGTTATCATGTGACCACACTCATTTGCCCTGTGCACACCTGGACACCAGTACGGACACTGGACGTTGGCATTGGCATCGTGTGGCTGTAAAGTTAGGGGTCAAGTAAGTGACTGCAGCCCCCTACCTGCTAAGCATTCTTTTGAGCTTCAAAGAAGGCTGAGATTGGGACTTGAAATACAACCACGATAGTACAGACAAAAGTCATTGTACAAAATCAGTATTGCCTCTCAGCTCAGCTGTCACAAAATTTATTTGACAAGAATTACATGTAAGTGGTTTTTCTGTCTAAAGTAATCTTTCAAGCAATCAATTAATCCTTCTGAAGCTTGATGTCTACAAGCCCTTGCAGTTAAACAAGCATAAAAGCATGTAGTATGCCTGTCCACCGTGTATACACTCTTGCCCTCTGGTGATTGAAGTCCTCTCAGGCTCTTGCAAAGTAGTTCCGTATCACTATCAGTCAGTCTTTGCACAGATCTCTAAACACCTACAATCCAAACAAACATTTTGGGAAGTCTTCTCACCTGGATCCTCCAGTGAAAGATCCCAAATGGTTGTTGAGCGCAAGACACACCCGTACTCAGAAACAAAGCCATTATTTGGGACATTGGCAAAGACTGTTAAGGCTGTTAAATGCTTTAATAGTTGGCATTTATATGCATCATCTATGTACCGGAGCCAGTTGCTCCTAGATGTCCAAAAGCCTTTCAGACTAATACAAGTGTTTAAGAACTGACTGGGTTGGGAGACTTTCTTGCTTTACCTGAGAAATCACACATTCGTTCCTCTTCTCAGCCTTCTGTCACGTATTTTGTTGCAAACCTTGGGTGTATTCGAAGTAAAAGTTTCAGTTTTACCCCAGGAAAAAGGGAAATCCTTGTGCAGTTATTGGCATAATATATTATTCAAGCCTGATGGTATTTCAGAGCACCAAGTTTAGATGTGTGGGGTACATGTTGGCAAGGAGAACTATTGCCTGCCTTTTGTTAGAATTCTACAAAAGTTGTAGTTTCACTGTAATTTTAAAATTATCGGGGGAAAGGGAAATTGCACAATTCAGTTAGTCCTCTTCAAACTTTTTTTTTAATTGCATGTTGATGATCAAGACATTAGTAAAAGAATGCATTCGTTATTTGCATGAGAAGTTTCACGCACCTCTCTCCTTAAATGTATAAATTTGATCCCACGTGCACAACATCCAATTTCGATTCCATTTGCAAGTAGAATGCATCTGTGCATGGTGCTTTTTCCGACCGATTTTAGCTTTTCTTCTTTTTTTTTATGGAATATTTTTAGCCTGGAGAAGTAGTCAGTTTTCAGTAATTGTATTGCATTAAGTTTTTTGAATTTATTACGGAAAAGACAGAATGTATGCAAACAGGTCATTTGTCTTAAACTGTAGGCATTGTGTGAACTTGTTTCAAAGCTTAAGTTGCACAAGATTTTCTGAGTTAAATATTTTTTGAATGAACTCTTAAGTGCCTCTAGTCAATGAAGATTTTCAACTAAGGCTGGCTTATTTCTTCATAACAAAAGACAGCATTCTTTGCTGTATTTGCAGAATAAGCTGCATTGTTGTAATCAAGCAATAGATACCGCTTTTTTCATATGCTAAATTCCATCTTACCTCTTAGGATTGTATTCATAAAATTTCATGTGTGTTCAATTCATACTTGTTCATTCTAGATTTGTTTTTCTTCAAAAAAAATTGGAGTTATTCAATATTAAGGTAGTCAAAATACTAATGTCTAGATTTCTCTTTTACAACTTTTAAAACGGCTAATAGAATTCATGGTGAACTTTGCTGCCAGTGATATTTGTTATGACAGGAGCCTTTGTTTTCATTGCATATTCTTTTCATTACTTTATGCCCTATTGTTTTGAGCCGATTAACGTTTTGAAGCCAGTCTAACTTTTAACAGTGTAATAACCACAATTTGACATCCTACAAATCAGAAAAAGCGTAGATGATGTTTTGATGATGCATGAGATTTGTATCTGAGGTGTAGTGTTCAGATTTGTTTGCCAGCCATCCCTTGCATCTGAATGTTAGCAGGAAATAAGTGTTTGACGATGGACAACTTGAGATGCAAGTGCATGTACAGTGTACCTGGGCGCCATGAACAAATTTTACAGTTTGGCTATGATGCCTGTACTTTGCGTGGGTCTGTCAGTAACTTGAGAGAGAATTTCCCATTACAGGACAATTGAGGAAAGTGAAGAAATTGAGGAATCCACAGATAGCACGTCTAAGCCCAGTAGGTAAGGAAAGAGCCAATCACTGGAGGCCGAGATTTGCATGGATTCGTGAGATACGGTAGTCGAGTGAACACACATTGATATTTGGAGGGGTCTTATCAGGCTTTCCATAAAAGAGAAACTAGAAAGTAGTTAAAGATTAATAGTCAAGACCAGTGCGGTGCTTTAGCAGTATCTGATGTAGATGCATCAAAGGTTGAATAGCTGTGTTATTTTAATGGCTGATAGCTGTTGGATAATTTTTTTCGTTCGATTAGTAAATTTTGTAGTGTAATATGATAAAGTCTCCGGCAGTGATGTGAGACATAGATATCCACATGTTAGTGGATGCATTCAATGTATGGAGACAAGTTTACAGAAGAGAATTCAGTTGATACATGTGACTGTTAGTGGATGATTTCTAGTCTTGTCAAGTTGACTAAGTGCATTGTTTTTTGGTCCACTCTAGAGAGCAGGTACCCTCTTGGTTGTCCTCTAATTTGTATCTGCTCCAGGAAACATACATATACATGTAGTAGTGAATTTTGGATGTTTTTTTTTTCTCACAGATCAGTTGAAGTTATTTAAAGGCAAATGGATCTGCCCTACGTGTATGTGTGGATCATTAATGTCTGACACTCCTGATGGTCCTCTAATGGTAGCATCACGTGTGGATCCACGTGATGCTGATGTGTATCAGAAGTAACTGCTGTTGATTCAACTCGCAGTGCTTGATATTAACCTACATGTAAATGTGTGGAGTGAATTAATCTATAATCACTCAACAGGTGTTGATGCTAACTGTATAGAAATAACATGTTTGGTATAGATATGCAATAACCCCCCCAATGCATTAGCGTATTGTTTTTGTAGAGATTTGAGAGCAATCTTTATCATGACATTATTTGAATTTTGTCCACACTTCATATGTATGTATTATATGATTCAGTGGCATAACAGAAGACTACTTTTGGTAAACTTTCAAGGTAGACAAGTCAGAAGCGAAATTTGGCTTCCTTAAATGTCATCGAGCTATTGAAAAAATCAATCTGCTGAGTTGGTTGAAAGTCAGCATTTCAGCATTTTTCTCCCTTTGTAAATCTTGTTGCTTGGAACTTGTCTGAAGCATGTTAACTCAGCATTGTGAAATGAGATATGGTATATTCATTGTACTTAAAACAAAATTTGGATTGGACCATCGTGCCCATGTTGAACTACAGTTGCTAGTTCATAACAATCCCGTATTCATCAAATCCCATGCAATTCCATGAGTTTAATTGCAAAAATTATCACAATGGTAAAGGATACTGAATGGAGTTACGATGGAACTCCTGTGTTTGGTTTACCCTGTAGCCTCAGCAACAACAACATCTCTATGTCCATGGAGTCGTTAGATGAAGTCTCAGCTGTAACTCTGGAATTTGATGAGGATGAGGATCTGGTCTCGAGAGGAACGGAGCCAGAATCTTGGAGTGTTACAGCAGAGAAGAAGGTACGTCAAGCAAACGAACAATGCTCCACAGAGACCAGAAGTAAATTTGCAACTCACTTGTTTGGTCATTA